ATTCTATATGCAAGATCATGACATTTGCAAATAGAGATAATTTTACTTCTTTTTCCCCTTCCTAATGCCTATTATTACATTTCATGCCTAATTGCCCTTCCTAGAACCTCCAGTACCTCCAGTACAATATTGAATAGAAGTAGTGAGAATGAACATCTCTGTCTTGTTTCTAATCTTAACGTGAAAACAGTCAGTCTTACACCATTAAGAATGATATTAGCTGGTTTTTGTGTAGCTGCCCTTTATCAGGGTCCTAATTTGTTGAATTTTTGTCAAATGTTTTTCCTGCTTCTGTTGAGGTGATCATATGCTTTTTGTGCCTTATTCTGTAAATATAAGGATATTACATTTGTTGATTTTCAGGTGTTGCACTACTTGGTCATGATGTGTAATCCTTTTTATGTATTGCTGAATTTGATTTGCTAGCATTTTGTTGAGGATATTTGTATCTGTAATCATAAGAGATATTGGTTTTTAGTATTTTTGTAATGTCTTTTTTTAATGATGAGTATGTTACTCTCTAAGCACTGCTTTATATGCATCCCATAGTTGTGGTATGTTGTATCTTCATGTTCTTTCATCTCAGTGTTTTCTAATTTTTCTTTTGTCCAGCTATCTGTTCATCGCATGAACACCTCTTTACACTACCTCTGACAAATGGACATTTCATTTTTGCTTAAATAATTACTTTGAGGAAAAGTTCACTGCTTTGTAAGGTAGCCCACTCATTTTTAAACATCTCAATGTATCCAGCATGTAAAACTCTACATGTTGTTCTAGGTTATTTCTTTTGAAGTTGCCCCAAATTTGTTTAATGCTTCTTCCATAGGATAGTTCTCTAAATATATAAACATTATTTTCACTTCTCTAAGTCTTTCTTTAAGGCTAATTATATCCCATGCTATATTCCTTAAATTTAAGGCATTATTAAGATGTCCTTTATAATCCGTTTATCCTTTTAAAAAATTATTATTTCTTTTAAAATTTAATGTCTCAAAGTAGACATTAAGTCCTAGAACAGGAGTCAGCAATCTCCTATAAAGGGCCAGATACAAATATTTTAGATTTTGAGGGTCATTCAATGTTTGTCACAACTACTAAACTCTGATTGTAATGTGAAACTGCCATAGACAATATATATATAATAAGCATGACTGTGTTAAACAACAACTGTTTTTACAGAAACAGGTGTCTGCGCCAGATTTTGCCCATAGATCATAATTTGCTAGATGTTATCTAACCAGTGCAGAACCTAGTGTGATTATATCATCACTTATGAATGCTATTGCATTAATGTATGTTGAAGACTGTATTAAAATATTCTGAGGGGAAGTTAGATATTATTCTCATATTTGCTCCTCTATAGGTAAGTGTTTTACCCTCTGCCTTCTTTCAAGATTTTTTCTTCATCTTTCATTTTAATGTTTTTCCTGCTCTGTGTTTTCTGAGTTTTCTAGATTTGTGGTTTGGTGTCTGACATTAATATAGGGAATATTATTGGCTTCAAATATTGCTCTGTTCCTTCTCTTACTTCTTCTGGTATTGCCATTACATAAATTACATGTATGTTATATCTTTTGTAGTTGTTTTCATAGTTCTTGGATATTCTGTTCTGTTATTTCCATCTTTTTCTCTTTGCTTTCAGTTTTAAAAGTTTCTATTGACTATCCTTATTCTCAGATATTTTTTTTCTCAGCCATGTCCAGTCTACTAATGAGTCTATCAAAGGCATTCTTCATTTCTTTTGTAGTTTTTTTGATCTCTGGAACGTCTTTCTTACTATTTCTTAGACTTTCCATCTCTTTGCTTATAATATCAGAGAAATATTGTCAATATTTAATGTGAGAACCTGTAAGAGCTCCTGGAACTAAAACACAAAAGTGTGGGAAATCTCTTCCTCCCATGAATGTGTTCCTCTGGAGTTTTTAGTTCTCAGAATTGTCCACACTGAGCCTCCAGCAATTTGAGAATTATGGTCAGATTTTCCTATCCCAGTACAGGTTCCCATGGAGGTTTCTGCTCTAGTAAGTTGTGATTCTCTGTCTTTGTCTTTCCAATTTGGGGAGCAGGGGTTTGACCTGTGACCTCATTTCTCTGATGGATCTCAGAATTATTGATTTCTCAGTTCGTTTAGAGTTTACTTGGTGTTAAGATGGAGTAGTAACTTCTAAGCTCCTTAAATGCTGGACCAGAAACCAGATGTTTTCTTCCGTAAGTTTTACATTTTTCATTTAGATCTTTAATTCTTTTTTTTTTTTTTAGGTCTTTAATTCTTATGACTTAATTTTTGTATTACAAAATTAGGTATGGATCAAGATTGATTTTTTTTTCTTTTTGTAGGCTATCCAATTATTTGTGGGATGGAGTATCCTTTCTCTATTAAATTGCTTTTACTTTTATATACTTGACCATATATATGTGGGCCTATTTTTGGGGCTCTATTCTATTCCATTGTTCTATCTGTTTATATTCTTTCTCCATTACCACTCTGGATTGCTCTAGCTTGTAGTAAATCTGGAAATGGGTCATGTGAGACTTCCTACTTTATTTTTTGGTTGACTCTTCTGTTTTCTTTGCTTCTCCATATAAATTTTACAATCACCTTGTTAATTTCTATAAAAAGAAAAATCTTGCTAGGATTTTGTTTGCAGTTGTATTGAATCTATAAAGCATTTTGGGGACAGAGAGCACTTTGGGGAAACATCTTAAAATATTGAGATTTTTAATTCATTCAATAAATATGGGATATCTTTATTTGATTAGGTCATCTTTAATTTTCTTTAAAAATGTTTTGTAGTTTTTGCATACAGGTCTTACACATCATTTTAGAGATCTATATCTAGGTATTTCATATTTTTGGATGCTATCATAAATCTATTATTTTTAAATTGTAATTTCTAATTTTTTCTAATATATAGACATATGATTAATTTTTGTATATTAACTTTCAAATAGCAACCTTGGTATACTCATTTATTAGTTCTAGCAGCTTTATTGTAATTTTTGGAATTTTCTACATAATCATATTGTCTGTAAGTATATTTTTTAAAATTTAGGTTTTCCTTTTCAAGAAAAAGTGTTGAGAGCAAATCTCCTTGCCTTGTTCTGATCTTGAGGGTAGAAGGGGTATGGGACTCAAAGCATTCAATCTTTTATCATTAAGTGTTAGTTGAAGGATTTTTTCAAAAACCCTTTATCAAATTGAAGGAGTTTCGTCTAGTCCTAGTTATCTGAGAATTCTTTTTTTTATTATGAATGATCATTGAGTTTTGTCAAGTGTTATTTCTGTATCTATTGAGGTGGTCGTTTGCTTTTTCTTCCTCAGTTGATGTGGTGAATTGCATTTATTAATCTTTGAAAATTAGCGTTGCATTCCCAAAATAAACCCAACTTAGTTATGATCTATTATCATTTTATGTATTTTTTAATTTGCTTTTTTTTGAGGATTTTTGAATCTATGTTAATGAGGGATACTGTTCTGTAGTTTTATTTTACTATATCTTTATCTGTTTTGGATATCATGATAATGCCGACGTCATTACCTGAGTTGGGACGTGTTTCTTGTTTTTCTACAGTTCTAAAAATTTTGTATAGAATTCGTATTATTTCTTCCGTAAATGTTTGATAGACTTCATCACAGCCTGTAGATTTATGTGTTGCAAGATGTTTAACTACATAGTCAGTTTTCAAAGTAGATATAAGATTATGCAAGTTATCTTTTTTTAAGATAAACTTTGACAGTTTATATATTTTGACAATTTCATTTAAGTTATTAAACTTAGGACATAGGTTGTTCATTTTATTTCTGTATTATTAGTTCAATATCTATAGGATCTATAATGGTGTCCCGCCTTTCATTCCTGACATTTGTAACTTTTGTCTTCTTTTTTTTTTCTTAATCAGTCTAGCCAGAGGTTTATCAATTTTTTAATCAACAATCCTATACAATAAAGAGGTAATATGCAAATTAACCCTCACAAGATGGCTGCCTACAACCAGGCCGGCAGGGGGTTAGTGAGGGACGACCAAACGCCTGAACAAGCAGGCTGCGTGGGGCGATCAGGCAGGCAGGCAGGTGAGCAATTAGGAGCCAGCGGTCCAGGATTGTGAGAGGGATGTCTGACTGCCTGGGGATTGGGCCTAAACCGGCAGTCGGACATCCCCCGAGGGGTCCCAGATTGGAGAGGGTGCAGGCTGGGCTGAGGGGACTTACCCCCCCCCTGCACAAATTTTGTGCACCGGGCCTCTAGTAGTTATTATTATTATTATTATTATTTTAAATACTCATTATGTATCATACAGCTTTTAAAGAACTTTATTTATATTCTTTTTAAATATTCAAGAAAGAATCTATAAAGTATTTTCCATTGTTATCCTCTTTTATAGGTGGATAAACTTAGGCCTCGCTATGTTATGAAACTCCCTACTATATGATAGCCAGAATGACAAATCCAGATTCAAATCCAAGTCTAGGTAACTCCAAAGGCTTTGTTTTGACCACTCTGCTTTATTGACTGGTTTAAAGGATGAATTATAATCAGATAAGACCTATGAAGGGAATCCTCTGTAACTGGGAGCAAATTTTTCATTTTCATCATTGGACTAATATTCACTGTTCTCTGTCTTTGGACCCTTTTCTATAAACAGTACATAGTACAAAACCTCTTGTTATAAGATCTCTGGAGATCTGTTAGCTCCTTCTAAAAGTTTTGACCACTCAGTGAGGGTACCTACCAAGAAGAGACAAAATTTGAAGACTTCTGGTTTCCACAAAATACTTATTAATGCCTATTAAAATTTCAGAACATAGGATATTCCAAGACCCTCTAGTAACAACCTGAAATAGTTGTTCTGATGCCATCCATTCTTGGTGGAGTACAAATAAAAGCCTTGATTCTAAAACCTTTCCTGCCCTTTAAAATGTAGGTATTTATTTCCCTTCATAGGTATAAGATAGGCTTTTGAAAATAAAAGCTGACACAACCTGCTTGTTTCCTTAGGTCTGACGGTAACTGCTGTAAAAGACTCAGGAGAATGGAATTTGGAGGCTGGGGCATTAGTGCTTGCAGATGCGGGCCTTTGCTGTATCGATGAGTTTAATAGCCTCAAAGAGCATGATAGAACCAGTATCCATGAAGCAATGGAGCAACAAACCATAAGTGTTGCTAAGGCTGGGTAAGTGTTAAATCTATTTGAATCATTGAGATTAATTAATATCTGATTATGGAAAATGCGAACCTTATTGAACTGTAAGGTATATTTGGTCCTCTCGGAGACACAGTTATCACCCTTCAAAACACATATTAATTTTCCCATGAAGGTGAATGAGGGAAGTAAAAATTAGCTGTTGGAACAAAGAAAGGAAAACTAAAGTGTAAAATAAATGTAAGTTGATTTAATTCATGAAGGGGACTTACGAAGAGCTTTCAGTTCAGGCTCCAACCTATTATCTCATTCAATAATTGTGTGTCTACTCTGGGTATATTATTATGTTAGGAATTTTGAAAGATTCAAAAAGACAAAACGTAATGTCTGCTTTCAATGGTATTCTTTTTTAAAAAATATATATTTTATTGATTTTTTACAGAGAGGAAGGGAGAGGGATAGAGAGTTAGAAACATCGATGAGAGAGAAACATCGATCAGCTGCCTCTTGCATACCCCCTCCTGGGGATGTGCCCGCAACCAAGGTACATGCCCTTGACCGGAATCGAACCCACAACCCTTCAGTCCGTAGGCCGACGCTCTATCCACTGAGCCAAACCGGTTAGGGCTCAATGACATTCTTGTGAGAATATCATTAATGTTTTCATTTTATATAGTTGTGTGGGATTTTTACCCCATTTTTGGCATACTCCTCTTTAGGGGCGCAAAGATTGTTTTTGTTTGTTTTTTACAAACATACCATTTATTTTGATTCTTTCCTCTGACCTTTTCTCATCACAGCTTTGAGACATAATTCACATACCAGATAAAATCCACTCTTTTAAAGCATACAGTTTCTTGGATTATAGTATATTCATAGAGTGTGCAACTACCACCACTGTCTAATTCCTGAATGTTTTCATCACCCCAAAGAGAAACCTCATACCCTTTAGCTGTCAGTCCTCATCCCCTCCATTCCATATGTCCTGTCTCCCCTAATCCACTTTCTGTCACTATGGATTTGCCTGTTCTGGACATTCCATGTAAACGGAATCATACAAGATGTAACTTTTTGCATCTGACAACTTTCACTTGGCATAATGTAATGTTTTTAAGGTTCATCCAGGTTGTCATGCCAGTAGTTTGGTTCTTTTTTATGGCCACTACCTTCTCACCATGTGCTCACTTGGCCTTTCCGCAGTGCATGAGTGTGGAGAGAGTGAGCTGCGTCTCCCTGCTTCTTTTTATGAGGACATAAATCCCATTATGGGGCTCCACCCTCAACACCTCATCCAAACCTAATACCTGTCTAAGGTCCCAGCTCATATCATCACCCTGGTAGTTAGGGCTTCCGAATAATGAATTTTGGTGGGACACAAATATTCAGTCCATAACAGCCTCCATTACTTTCTTTTTTAATTGTGGTTAAAAACACGTAACATAAAATTTACCATCCTAATTATTTTTAAGTGTATAGTGCAGTAGTGTTAAGGGTAGTCACAGTGTTGGGCAAGCGATCTTCAGACCTTTTCCATCTTGCAAAACTGAAACTCTATACCCATTAAGCAACAACTTGCCATTTGCACCTTTCCCGGTGCCTGGCGACCACCGTGTTACTTTCTGTTTCTGTGAATTTGATGATTGCCTGACCTGACTAGCATAGGTTCTTTTACCTTCACTCCATTGGCTGCACTTAGTATTACAGCCCTACTTAACTGTACAGGGGGATGGGAAATACATCTTGCTCTGTTCCCAGGGGAAAGGGAATAAGGCTTGGTGAACATATAGCATCTACCACCACAGCCCAGAGTTAAATTTGGAAGTGACAGAATGTAGGTGAATAAAGCCATGAGTGAAGACGGGGATCCCCTGTAAAGGCTGTAATGAGAGACTCACACAAACAAGGGCACTTTCTGCCGGGCCTGCAGTGCTGAAAATAATGTGTACAGTATTTAGAAACTGTACAATATTTAGAAGAGTCACTACTATGTAGGAAAGTTAACCTATGTATATTAAAAAAATGGGACAATAGTTTTTTTGAGAAACTGGAATTTTCCCACTGCAAATTAACCATAAAAAATATTAGCATGATTAATTTATAACTGTTGAAGCCTGTGAATATAAGATGACCCTGAATTTTAGAAATACTGAACTAAGTAAAGGTTTATTTCTTGTCACTTATCTAGTGCATGTTTATTGAGCATTTAATATGTGATAGACAATATGAGGATTATAACAATAAGTGACAGTCCCTCAAGGAAGATCAAATTTAATAGGAAAAAAAGTAAAGTAAGTAAATAAATGCCTAAAACATCAGGAAGTACTTACTATGCAGGAAGTACTTAGGATTAGACTGTGTCTTTGTATCTGTGTTTTCAAAAGCCTCATTCAGTTTTGAATGCAGTAATGTTTGTATCACAGGTCTGCAAGCGCCAGGCTTATCCAGTATCTGTCTTCCCTTCTTTCAAATGAGCAGAGACCACTCTGTCCCTCTTGGCACCGTCCCCAGGCCCTTTCTGTGCTACAGGCAGCTGCCTGACTTATTACCCCACACGGTTTCCGCTTCCCCTGCCCACCCTCTACTTCCATCGCTGGCACTGCTGCTGACTGTCCTCAGGCAGCCATTTTGCTTCACACAATCCTCCCTTAGCCCCCTTCCTTACGCTTACTCTTGTCTTTATTTTATTTTATTTTTTTCAGTTACCTCAGAAATAATTCACCACCTTCTTTCTCTCTTTGGAAGTACTTAGGATTAGACTGTGTCTTTGTATCTGTGTTTTCAAAAGCCTCATTCAGTTTTGAATGCAGTAATGTTTGTATCACAGGTCTGCAAGCGCCAGGCTTATCCAGTATCTGTCTTCCCTTCTTTCAAATGAGCAGAGACCACTCTGTCCCTCTTGGCACCGTCCCCAGGCCCTTTCTGTGCTACAGGCAGCTGCCTGACTTATTACCCCGCACGGTTTCCGCTTCCCCTGCCCACCCCTCTACTTCCATCGCTGGCACTGCTGCTGACTGCTCCTCAGGCAGCCATTTTGCTTCACATAATCCTCCCTTAGCCCCCTTCCTTACGCTTACTCTTGTCTTTATTTTATTTTATTTTTTTCAGTTACCTCAGAAATAATTCACCACCTTCTTTCTCTCTTTGCTAGTTCATTTCCTTCTAACACCATGCACTGCTTTAAGATCAGATACCCAGGCGTCTCCACAGAAGTTTCTCTTTGCTGATGCTAATGCTGATAACCCCCATCCGTTGCACATGTACTGTGTCTGCTGGGCGCTGTGTTGCGCTTCCTCATCTGCCAGCATTTCTACTGTAAACTAGTGGAGGCAGAGGCCAGCTTTTTGAATTCTCAGTATCGCTCTTTGCACACAGGAAATGGCTTATAAATATTTTTGACCAGAGAGGAAGAACAATCAATTACTTTCACCTACATTGAAAATAATTTTAAGAAATTATTTCACATGCAATTGAATTTTATCTCATTGCCAGTATTGCAGCAGTATCCTTTTTTATGATAAATGCCAACAGCCTCACTTCAACATGGATTAAATGTGCTTTGGTGGGATTCATTAGGAACCACTTATTACATTGTTTTTAGGGCAAACTGGATTTTACCTTTACAAAACCATTTGGGCACATAATTTATAAGATGTGGACTGTCTGTTCAGAATATTTCCTCTCAGTAATTTTTCTTAAAAGGGGACTTAGTTTTCAATGAAAGTACCTTGTTTGTTTTTCTCTCCTTTAGTGGGTGTCTTCTTATGCCATTTACCACACACTAGGGTTCTCAAACTTTTCTAGTCTTAGGGCACGAGGTGATTGCTAGAGCCAACTGGAAATAGATCGGGGATTAACAGGCGCAGCACATGTCACTGATGCCATGTTCCATGACTGCTGAGAGGCAGACATGCCACTATAATTAAAAGCAGTCAGCAGCAGAGAAATGTATAGGGGAAAACGTTACATTTGTGATTGTCAACGAATATGCTGTATTACCTTGAGGACTTGCCCATCATTAGTAAGTTTAAAAACAATATCTAAGTCAGGCATACCCATACCTATCTTGCCACTGCTCCATTTAGGACAAGCAATTCAAACTCGAAGGCTAACATGGGCCAAATAAATAGGGTTTAAGTTTATGTGAGCTGCAAAAAAACAAAAGCTTCAATTTTCATAGAAACGTAGGTTTATTTCGATAGACATGCTGAATACAAAGGGCTGACATAAATGAGTAATCGTTAACATAAAATAATATAACATTTTAATAAAAATTAATATTTTTTCTTGAACATTAACTTACCAGACACTGAATAACTGTACAAATTAATAAGTGTAATGCAAATAAACCGATTTTTCTTGTTCTTTGAAAGCAAAATATTTCCTGTTGCGCACACCAAACAAGTCAGTCCAGGACTAATGATGTGGCCATCAGCTGCTAAAATATTCCCTGCTGGTATTAGAGAAATGGTGCACCTGCACAAAAGACGCATAAAGAAAATGAATGCAACATGATTATAGTAATCAGTCATTAACGAACGTTGTAGCTCCTTATTAATAATTATGTATAAAGGATATTGTAAAAATTAAGTTACAAAATTTTTATTAAAGTGTTTCTTACATACCATTATATTGACTGGGCTGCAAAAATATTTGTTGTGGGCAACATGTGGCCCGTGGGCTGCAAGGTTGACATGCTTGATTTAGGACTTCATGCCTCTTCCTGGACCATTGTCCTCGTCTCCTCGCTGTGTCCATCCATGGTCCTCCCCATCTAACCCACCCACCACTCCCAGGCCCCTTCAATCTTCCCTTCGCTGTTACTCCTCAAAAACTCGATGCTAAACAGCGTTTATTTTTCCTCATTTCCCCTGCTTCTTTCCTCCCTCTCTTCATCCCTCCCTCCATCTCTCTATTTTTATTTTTTTGTTTCTTTCACTTTTAGAAAAATAAAAACAAAGTGACACACAAAGTTTTTGCTTCAACCAACTCACAATTCTACAAAATCACTCTCACCCTCCACCTTCACTCTCTCCATGAATATATATATTCTCCACTTAAAAAGTCCACATCATGAAGGGCCCGGTTCAAAAGCTACTTTGTAATGTTCTCCTGATCATCACTTCCGTCCACATAGATGAATGGATATCAACTTTATTTCTCCTGGGACCTTTATACTTCTAGAACTTACCGTATTCTTCTTTGTCTTACCATGATAGCTAGTAGATTGCAAGCTCCTTAAGACAGTATCCATGTTTGGTTTACTATGTATGACTCTTAGCACCCAGCAGGAGGTGTGCTCATAGTAGTGTTATGAAAAATGTTTATGAGCATTTATTTCTCTACAAGATAGGCTAGTGTAAATGTACTGGGTTGAACTTGGTGTTTGTGATACATCCTTATATCATTCCACATTCTCTTTTACATGAGCTTCTCTAGATTTTCAAGATGCAAGAGCAGCCCTTTTCATTAACAAGTTTAATCTTGCTTTTTATTTGAATCTCAACAGTCAGTGAATTGTACCCTCTCTTTTGGTAGCCTCGTGTGCAAGCTGAACACAAGGACCACCATCCTGGCAGCAACTAACCCGAAAGGCCAGTATGACCCACATGAGTCTGTGTCTGTGAACATCGCCCTTGGCAGCCCACTCTTAAGTCGATTTGACTTGATCCTGGTTTTGCTTGATACCAAGAATGAAGACTGGGATCATATAATTTCCTCTTTTATCTTAGAAAACAAAGGTATGTGGAGACAAGCAAATTATTGACAAAGAAAAAATGTAGACACAGCCAAATGAAATTCTCTTTGAAGAAAATTAAATAAATACCCAAGGTACCCCACTAATGGGCAACAGAGAGTTGCTTAGACTGAAAGCAGTGAGAGGACCAGTTAGTGAGCCAGAATAATGAGTAGGAGGTAAAGGGTCCTTCTCTGTCTGCCATTGATGAGATTATGGTTGTGAATATGTTTTTGGGATGAAAGGGGGGAAATCTTATGATATATAATTATTACTTCTTGCATGCAAAGAAAACTGGGTTGAATTATGAAACAGAAATCTAAATATAGGCTTCTCTTTCAATTAAATTTGATTTACTCAAGTATTACTTAACTAGAGGCCCGGTGCACGAATTCGTACACTGGTGGAGTCCCTCGGGGTGGCCTGCAGAGATCGGGCCCCAGCTCAGGGCCCCAGCCTCACAGCCCCAGCTCGCACCCCCAGCCC